TTGGCCAAATTAAACATTGCTTCTTTATTGCCATTTTCTGCTAATTTTTTTAAAGAATTAATACATTCTTTACACCATAATTCTTCAGTAAAAGGTATATTACAATACAAACAATTTTTGGTGTCTATTGCAATGGTATCTTCATCTGAGATATTTAATTTATTAAAGTCAGTTTCCATTTGTTATTTAAAAAATTGTTTTACTGGAAAAAAAAATTTATTTTTTTCTAGACAATTTTTTTAACAAAATTTTTTTTTTTATTTTTTATTTTATCATGAATGAAGCTTCTAAAAGAAATATTTTAACCAAAAGTAGAAATTACAACAAAAAAAATTTTTTCGGTCCGTATTATTTCCGATGCACTGATCTGCAATTCTGCATCCAATTTCCAATTGGTCATCTAAAGCGGAGTGGTTTTGGCCGGCATTACGGCATTAAGAAATTACACTTGTGACAAATAATTAAAACGACATGTGACAAATATATTTACTATATCCGCTATAAATAAATGTTAATTTTTTCTATAATAAAAAAAAAATAACAAAATTAAACTTGTTTATTTACTCACATTAAGATTACAAACATTTTTATCAGCATTTTGCTCCAAAATAATTAGTGTTTTCTTTCTACTAGCAAATAAAATAGGATTATGAGCATGTTCTTGTTCAACATTATAACTTGATAATGTAAACAATCATGATGCAGGAAATTTCTCCCTATATAAGAAGTCGATCTGTATTTTGCATTTTATTTTTTTCCGTAAAAGGCTCATATTTCCGGAATTAATAACCTAATATCACGGAATTTATTTAATAATTTACATTTTCCGTGAATGGGTCCGTGAAAGGCTCATTTTTACAGAATTTTACAGAAATAACGGATAAAATTTTTTTATAGGGTCTAATTTAAAATTTTATATTTTTTTAGATAATAATTTTTTCTGCAACTCATATAATTTTCCTTCATCCACTCAAGCTATACATAGAAAGGTAGAATGAGTCAAAAATCATGTAGATCGCTTCCATTTGTGGATAAAGTCGACCAGTATTACATAGTGCCGGCCCTGAAGAAATGCGTAGAGCTAATAGTAAATGTGTGTCGATCTCCCTTTATAACTTGGTCCTACTTACATCATAATTCCTTTTTGAATAAAACTACCCCTGCTCATTTCCTTTTGTACAGTATTTGTATCCCCCTTTTTTGCAAATCAATTTTTGTAAACGTGATTTATATTTACTGACTTCAACGGGTTCGTTTACCTAGTATAATTTGTGACTTGTCAAATAGTAGGTGCTAACGAGAAAAGTATTTAAATTGAATATTTTGACAAATTATTTTCTATATAGATTATCTTTTGTTACTTATATTTACTATATGTTAAAACATAAACCGTCTATTATATTTATTTCTTTTAGTTTATTTTATGTGTTTAATTTCTTAATAATGTATGTTTGATAAACTATGCATGTTAGGGTTATGTTTATCTAATCATCGGTATGAGTATTTTGATCATTAACTGTTAATTTGGTAACTTACCGATAAATGTCATGGAAAATCATTTTTCATAAGTATCTGAGATTTTTTAGCAGCAAAAATCCTATTCGTCCCCGGCCACTTTGTTAAATTTTTCATGGTTACTCTGGGTACTCTGGGGCAGTCCTTGATAATCTATTTTTTTAGGTTCAACTTGCTAGTTTCTTATTTTATTTTAAAAAGTAAAAGTGTCATTAATATTTTATTAATTTTGTTCCTGGACAATTTGTCCCACTTTTTAATTATCTTAATTCTGGTCGGAATTATTTAAGAAATTGTCTTTAATCCTGGCCGGAATTATGTTAGCCTTTAAGTAGCACAAACGCTAATGTCATGCGATTTTAACTTGGTTAACGTGACCAGTGACTCACGTGCAGTATCATAATTGGGTTACTTAATTTGTGATCATGTGCTTCCGGTACTTCCGGAGAATACTACAGTACATAGCAGACATGAAAAAAAAAAATAATTTAGTTCTTACTATATTTTGTAAAAACGGAGTTGATCTTTTTTGATGGGTGCCGGTGCCTTGCCAATAATTATACCGTACAATCTTGGACTATAGCGACCTTGTTCAGCCATTGTTCTTACGAAAAGGTCGGGTCGTATTGGGTTTCAATATTGGTATTCGGGTTTGATAGATCATAGTTTAGTTTTATACTAATCTTCTAGTATGTGTTAAAATGTATATCTATATAATTAAACATGCAGGAAATTTATTTTTGGCTTTACAGTTATGCATGATTTATGAGATACGTGACGTAACTCAACAAATGAATATAACCATGTACCGTAAAATTTGCTTTTTTAGTAAACATATTATTAAATAATTTATTACCATTCAAATAATTATTAGTTGAAGTAGTGAAAATAATCCACTTCAATATTTGTAAAATTTTTTTATAAAATAAGTGTAAATTTCCGCCACTCACATATTTTCATACCGTGAAAGTAGAAGTTTCATATGATCTAAAACTTTTAGATCAATAATCAGATTTTTTTTTACGTCATATTTATACTATCAATATATTATATTATTTCCAAAATTCAGACTGGCAAACTATACGTGGTGTAAATTATACGTGTAACGAGAAACCATCGCAGTGATCGCACGAGTCAATTTCAAACTCAATTTCTCTTAAATAAATATTATGCAAAGTTACATACACTTTCACTCTTTTTAACTTTCAATGTATTTAACTCACATTCTAATTGGAAAAATTCGATTTTTAACCATAAAATTTATTTGATAATTTATTTCGTTAACAAAAGTAATGGAAATTAACGCAAATGATTTAGCGATATTTTACAATTTCTGATTTGTTGTATCTCGATTTACCACATATGGATATATCCTCTTTCATTTTAAATAAAAGTAATCATTATAGAATATTGATAATTCGTTATGCATATTTATATATCCCATTCATCTTTAATAATATTTTTACATATAAAGTCAAGAATATTAAAAGTAAGATATTTTATTTTAAAATTTTTTACATAAAGATATATTAACTCTTCGTTTGAGAAATTTTAAACATTATTTAGACAGAAGAATATTTCAATATAGAACCAATAATTTTAATAATTTTTTTTTTTTTTTTACTATTTACAAAATATATAATTTCTTATAAATATTACTCTTTCAAAAAATATTTAAAAATAGATAATTATAATAATACTTTTATTTCCATTTTCGAATTTCGGAAATTATAAGTAAACAAAAAAAAAAAAAAA